ACCGCCAAATGGAAAACTGAACAGTGCAGCTTCGGGAGGGAAAGTTGCATTTTTCGAACTGCATCAAACTCCTCCGGACCGCCCATCGAATGTTTTATTGGTGTATGTTGAAGGTATACAGACAGAGGCACTGGTGGACACAGGCACATCACTTTCCGTAATTCGTGCAGACTTTTGTGCCCGCTTGAAAAAAGTTAGGACGCCCTACGATGGTCCTCCCCTTCGTTGCGCAGATGGGGTCCTTATTCAGCCTTCAAGTGTTTGCACAGTCCGCGTTTTCATAGATGGCATCCTTCACCACATTCAGTTTCTTGTACTTCCTTTGTGCACTCACACAGTAATTTTAAGATGGGACTTCCTTTCTTCGGCATCAGCTTTCATATCGTGTCTTCAGCGAGTCATTCAAATATCAGCTACCGAGAGTTCATCCGATGTCGATCCATACAGCTTCCGTTTCGTTGCTGCCACTGATTGTTTCATTTCGCCAGGAGATGAACAACTTCTAACGATCGCTTCGGATACTATAGTTAACGGTGACGTGTTTATAGCTCCATCAGTTTGCTCCAAACCTGCGGGGCTTACCATAGCACCCGGCCTTGTGCGGTTTACCGACGTTAAAGCATTGGTGACCGCCTTGAATCCAACTTCTTCGCCAGTGATGCTGCCCCGGGGCACTGCTGTGAGCTGCTTCGCTGACAGTGAGCCCTTTTCGCTGGTTCGCCTTCACGCAGAATCACCGCCTTTGTCTGCTACTACTAATATCAAGGCTACCACTGTTACCTTAAATGACACCATAAGTCCTCACCTCACTGCCGAGCAAAAGAGAGACCTCTTAGACCTTCTCCAAAAGCACAGCCTTTCGTTTGATGTACATTGCAAAGTTTTGGGCCACACCTCCGTTGCAGAGCACAGCATCGAAACCGAAGGCACCTCCATTGTACGCCGCCGCCCATACCGTCTCTCTTCGGCGGAACGGCAAATCATTGAGGAAAACGTCGCCGACATGCTCAAACGGGATATTATTCGACCTTCATCCAGATCCTGGTCGTCTCCTGTGGTGTGGATCCAGAAAAAGGATGGCTCTGTCTGCTTTTGTGTTGATTACAGAGCGCTCAATAAGATCACGAAAAAAGACGTATATCCGTTGCCACGCATAGACGATGCCCTGGAGTCCCTACAAGGCGCAGAATATTTCTCCAGCCTCGACATCCGATGCGGGTATTGGCAAATACCTATGCGCGAAGCAGACAAGGAGAATACAGCGTTTGCGATGCCTGACGGGCTTTACGAATTTAACGTCATGCCTTTTGGCTTATGCAACGCTCCAGCAACATTCGAGCGCATGATAGATACTGTCTTACTTGGTCTCAAATGAAAAACCTGTTTATGTTATTTAGACAACATCGTCATTTATTCTTCTACTTTTCCTCAGCACTTCAAGCGTTTGAACGAAGTTCTAACGTGCATTTCGAACACTGGCCTACAGCTCAATACAAAAAAGTGCCACTTCGCCAGCACAAGCATCAAAGTATTGGGTCACCTTGTCAGCAAAGACGGCGTTCGACCTGACCCCGACAAGGTTGCTGTCGTAATTAGTTTTTCACGTCCGCGCAGTCAAAAACAATTGCGAAGTTTCGTGGGCCTGGCGTCTTACTTCCGCCGCTTCATCCGTCACTTTGCTGCCATTGCGGGGCCGTTACACAAGCTTCTGACGTCAGGAACGGATTTCACGTGGACTGACGAGTGCGAGTGTGCTTTCCAAGCCCTTAAGCGTGCTTTGACATCAGACCCCGTCCTCCGTCACTTCGATGAGAGTGCACCCACTTTCCTGCACACAGATGCCAGCAGCCACGGAATCGGTGCTGTCCTCCTCCAGCGCGACGACACTTCACGTGAGAGAGTAGTTGCGTATGCCAGCCGCGCACTAACACCTGTGGAGCAGAACTACTCGACAACAGAGCAGGAATGTCTCGCTGTCGTTTGGGCCATCCAGAAATTTCGACCTTATCTGTATGGACGCCCCTTCACTGTGGTTACCGACCACCATGCCCTATGCTGGTTGTCCTCGCTGAAGAATTTGTCTGGGCGCCTCGGTCACTGGATACTGCGTTTGCAAGAGTACACTTTTGGCGTTGTGTACAGGTTCGGCAAACAGCATCAGGAGGCTGACGCTCTCTCTCGCTGCCCTCTGCCACTTTCATCTCCCACCACGCATCCTCAATGCCGCTCAGGTGATCAAGCGGCTTCCTCTTCACTCACGTTATCACCCCTGGCAGTTGGCTGGGTCATTACCTTTAAACAGCAGCGCCCAGTTTGCCGCGTACCAACGTGACGACCCCTACAGTAACCGCATCATCGGATACTTGAATGGCTCGCCTTCTCCACCTAATGCCAGACTACGTCGTCAGCTACGGCTGTTTAAGCTAGAGAACAATGTCCTGCCGCACTATACTTACAATGCGGATGGGCATCGGTGGGTGCCAGTACTTCCCCGTTCGCTGCGAAAACAAGTTCTCGAAGCATTGCACGACGACCCATCAGCTGGACACTTAGGATTTCAAATGACCTACAACCGCGTTAGGAGCCGTTTCTTCTGGCCTGGTCTTTCTACCTTTGTGGCTAATTATGTCACTTCTTGCGCACTTTGTCAACGCCAGAAACGACCAACTTCAGCTCCTGCTGGTTTATTACAACCCATTCCATGTCCCGACACACCTTTTGTCGTTGTCGGAATAGACCTCGTCGGGCCACTTCCCGTAACGCCAGTGGGCCACCGCTGGATCGTCACAGCCGCCGACCACCTCACACAATACGCGGAGACCGCTCCTCTACGTACTAGCTCTGCCTCAGACGTTGCCGCCTTCTTTTTAGAAGTCATTGTGTTGCGTCATGGTGCACCTCGCGCGTCGTTGAGTGACCGAGTCAAGGCCTTCCTGTCAACAATTCCCGACGAAATCCTAAAAACTTGTGGCACAGTTCAGAAGACCACATCCGCTTACCACCCGCAGACAAATGGGCTGACAGAGCGATTCCACCGGACTCTAATCGTCATGATATCCATGTACATCGGACCGAACCACGATAATTGGGACAAAATCTTGCCGTTCGTAACATTTGCACACAACACCGCTGTTCAACGAAGCACCGGGTATTCACCTTTCTTCCTCGTCTATGGTCGTGCACCGACATTCACCATTGACCCCTCTTTCTTCAATGTAATGACAAAAACGTCGACGACTACGTCAGAACATTTCGTCTCCAGGCTTGCTGAGGCACGGCAACGGGCTCAACTCAACACGGAGGCCAGTCAACATGACCGCAAGCAACGCTATGATAGCTTTCGTCGAGACGTCACCTTCCGTCCTGGAGATGAAGTACTACTTTGGACGCCTGTTCGCACACCCGGATTGTGTGAAAAGTTTCAGTCACGCTTTCTAGGACCTTACGTTGTTTGTGAACGAACATCTTCTGTCAATTACCTTGTCACTCCCGTCGAGGGTTCCTCGGACCGTCGTTACCGTGCCTCCGAGATAGTCCACGTTTCACGTCTTAAACCCTTTGTGCGCCGTACCTTTCCCGCCTAAGTTTCGGCCGTGCCGGCCGCTCATGTGCGCGGGGAAAATAAGCGTGAGCATTATTTAATCGTCCCATCTTTTCATCTGTACATACTCATCAACACCAGTCAAGTTTAGGTTGTGGGGCACATACTCACGTCAATAAAGGAGAGTCTTGAGTGTACTCGGCGCCATCTTACTTTATATATATATATATATATATACATACATATATAAATATATATATATATATATATATATATATTTTTATATATATATATATATATATATATATATATATATATATATATATATATATATATATATATATATATATATATATATATATATATATAATGTCATAGTTCGGAGCAAAGAGGAGTGTAATTCCGCAAAAGTACTTTTGATGCATTTTGCGACGTACCTTCAAGGGCGACACACATTGCTCGATACCGCATGCCATCCGACTTCCATTGTGGTGATGTAACAGACAGAATAGTGTCAGTTAGTCGTACCAGACCACTCGAGCAGACAGGCAGTGTGCGTCCGTTTGAGTTTATTGCCGTCTGAGCAAGCTATGAATAAATGTACCCGTTGCGTTTCCTTGAGGTTTGCTGACACCACACATGGCGAACGTAATTTTGTGGAAGCCAAAAATCTAATGGAACACGCAATGCGAACACAATGTGCTATTTCTAAGCTAAAGCGGTATCACGAATCATGAAGTGCGTTATTACAATAGTTTTCAGAGCGAGAAATCGACATATTTAAGCACGACAGCTGACATAAAATTGGTAATTTGTGTATATAACCAACCACGATGGTATAGTGACTAAGGCACTCGGCTGCTGACCTACAGGTCACGGGATCAAATCCCAGCTGCGGCGGCTGCATTTTCAACGAAGGCGGAAATGCTTCAGGCTTGTGCAATGAGATTTAGGTGCACGTTAAGGAAACCCAGGTGGTGGAAATTTCCGCAGTTCTGTACTGCCGTGTCTATCATAATCATACGGTGGTTTTGAGAAGTTAAACCCCAAGAATTATTAATAACCTGCCTGTATATTTACCCACGTTTCACGGAGTTTCTGTTTTGAGATTATATTCAGCAGGTAAAGATTGTGCCACACTTAAAAAAATATACAAGATTTGGTATAGGAACAATCACATTCAAAATAAATCCGAACACCAGCAAGCATTATGAAGAGTATTGTGCGCGTTGTATGTACATCATTGTCATTGAGAGACGCACGTTGATCTGGTTTGGGAGCACTGCGAACGTGTACGGTGATGACTGTATGGCGTGCGCTTTACTATCCATATTGCTTGCCACCGTTCGGGTCAGACTTGTCGACGATAGTACTGCTCAATTACTTACTTTGTAAAAAAATATTCTAACAGAGGTTTGATGCGCGATTGAAAAACAATGTTCGACTTGAGAGCGTCTCGTTTTTTTTTAACACGAGTTTTATTTCCTATGAAGACAGGGCCTGGTCGTCAGCAGGCTTGATGATTTCCTTGACCACTTGGGTGATGATAATCCTCTCGGTCGCAGGAGGGGCCTCAGTGGTTGGCGGCAGGGGTTCTGGCAGAGGAACCGCTATGCACGCGGCCCTCCACGAGAAATCGCACACGTTCAGCTTGCGGTTGAATTGCAGGGCGCCAGGACATTCGATGAGTTCTGGAACACCCTGTAGCAGAGAAAGAGACGTTAAATGAGCATCTTTTGGGAACCTTTGATAAATATTCACAATAATGGGGCTCAAATAATAAAGCTGCTTCGCTTAATTAGAGAGTAAAAGGCAGAGGGTCTCCAAGTTCTTTTTTTCAGGCGCTTTCCAGACCGACACGGACGAAATAGTGCACTCGCAAGGTTTTTCGGTCTCTTAACTTTCTAGCAATGAAAGTAAATTATGGCTGAAGCGAGATTGGTTTTTACGGGTTGATTATTATACTGCAGGTGCTTTATTTGGGAGATAAACAAGCACAAAAATTGACCGGAACGCTAAGTGTAAAATATTAGAAGAAGTAACATTGAACAAAAGAAAATTATCATTGCCTCATAAAATTGAAAATTTATCATTTAAAACTTCGCAAGCCAGTGTGCAAGGTGGGTTCTGGTTATATTAATTTTATTATTAAAAGCAGGTCTTGAAAAATTATCAGCGTCCCGGGAAATACACGAAAACAAAATGCGATTAAAAGATGTGGTGTACTCTGGTGAAAAGTGAGACAGTGGCATGCCATCAACGTACATGTTTATATGTCTAAAAAAAAGAGGTGACTATCTCGCACTGGGGTATGTGCCTATACCATAATTTCTCACTTTAGCCATTGTACTCCTTTAAAGTAGGCGCAGTTGTAATATCAACACTGGCAGTATCGCTCCTGAGGATGAAAATTGTGAGTGAAACAAACAGCTGCATATACATTTGTTGGCGTTAGTAAATTGAACTTTCAAATTTTTCGTTGCGTAACTTACCAATCGACACTTCACTGGAAGTACGAGTCTTCACAACTTAGCAGATGACTGTGAGGAACTTGTACGAGGAAGAAAATTATAATTCGCATAATTTAGCGGAATGATCGTTTAGTTTTTAAAACTTGACAACTTGACTTCTGGCGTAATACAAAAGTGAACCAAAATACACGCTCCCAACAAACTGGAGAGAATGCAAACCAAACACGCCCAATGCCTTATAAAAGTCTAAAAAAATTGGCAGATCCCACGTACAGTGAGAATCAATGCTAGGCGAAGCACGCATGAGGAAGGTTTATATGTCACTTTCAAACCACCACAACGTTTCGACGTGGACGTAAACTATGCCGCACAACACTTCCATGTCATGATTATCGTGTTTGGACGTGTCATTTACGTTCATCGTCCATTCACGCTCCGTAACACCAAACTTGGTATATGTGAAGCTAGTGAAACGGCGGCGAGGGCATCATGAAGGGCCAAATATGCTCCGACGTAACACTGACTAGCAAAACTCAAACACTCTATAGCCTGACGCTAGGCGCGACCAGCGTCTGTCGGCGCGACCCGGTGGCAACCGGTGCGAAATGTGGCATGCTGCATTTCGCGCCGATGACGTTACCCAAGCAGCACAGCGTCTGCTTAACTTCGTGACAAAGGCAGGCCGGGAATGCTCAAACGCGCATGCGTCAAAGCAACGCACCGCGGCGTGCGCCTGAGAGTATATGCCAGGCAGATCGGCGGATGGCATGGCATCGCCGGCGTGACGCAACGAAACGAACGCTGGGGTTCCCGTCGAAGTGTACTGGCGCCTTGAGTGTGGCATGCAGTCATGTTGTTACATGACACGCATCTCATAATTATCATGTTTCCACTAGTCCCATACCTCCGTCATCCATTCACGTGACGCAATAACAAATTCGGCATATGTGAAGCTAGCGTAACGGCCACGAGCGCATCATAAGTGTGGGATGTAGTTCTGTTGTTACATAACACGCAAGTCATGATTATCCTGTTTGGAAGTGTGATTTACAAATCTCATCAGCTCACGTCGCGTAATACAAAATTTGGTACATGTGAAGCTAGCGAAACGGCTGCTAGCGCCTCATAAGCATAGCATGTAGTCATGGTGTTACATTACACGCATCTTGTGATTATCATGTTCGCGGCACTCACATACCTTCGTCATCTAGTCACGTCATGTAATATGAAATTTGGTATATCTGAAGCTAGTGAGGCGGTCGCGAGTGCATCACGAGCGTGGCGTGTAGTCATGATCTAAGGGGACACGCATCTCATGACTATCATGTTTGCACCAGTCATATACCTTCGCCATGCATTCACGTCCTGACACACCAAATTTGGTATATGTGAAGCTATCGAAACGACTGCGAGCGTACCATGAGCGTGGCGTGTAGTAATGACTCAAGGCTTGCATGACATGCATGTCATGATTTCCACGTCAGGGTTTGTAACTTGTGTTCGCCATGCAGTCATTTCATACCACGCCAATTTCGCAACATGTCTTGTGAACGAAACCACTGCAAGAGCAGCAAGATCATTAATTGTAAATCATGGCATTCATGACATACATATCATGAGTTTCATGTTAGTTTTAGTATTTTTAATCGCCATACAGTTAGATTGTGCCACACCAAATATGGTATAGATACCATTAAGGAAACAGCCAGGATAGCTAATAGTCGTAGGTGGCTAGATAGATAGATAGATAGATAGATAGATAGATAGATAGATAGATAGATAGATAGATAGATAGATAGATAGATAGATAGATAGATAGATAGATAGATAGATAGATAGATAGATAGATAGATAGATAGATAGATAGATAGATAGATAGATCCGCTCAAGGAAGGAAGGAAAATAGGAGGAAAAGAACGGCAGGGAGGTTAGTCAGCCTATAGGCAGCCGGTTCGCTACCCTGTGCATGGAAGGGGGATGTGGGAGATGAAAGATAAACAGGCGAGAGAAAAGAAAGATAAAGACAGCAGATCTGCTCAAACTCGCCGAAGTTCGCTAGGAAATGTTTCGAATTGCAAATAAAAATTGAGAAAGCTGTTAATTGGTTAAACGGCTGTGCGGTTCTCACAATGCTGCAACAAGTTGTAACGATCGCACAGTAAGAGTTACAGCTTAGGTGCCACCAGTGCTTTTGTACAGTTCTTGACAAATGTCTTCTGTGGTCTTCTGTGTAATTGGCGAAGCTTCAGATATCTGTTTTGGCATCACTGGAGCTGTTTAGCCCACAGATTGTAGACAGCTGGTTGACCAAGCCCTTTAAAATACATCTGAAAAATTCGACCCCTTTCAAAATTTTTATTGCGATCATCGTTTTACAGTTTGATAGTGCTGGTAAATTAGAACGTACATGACGGGGCAATGTTATTGATGTGCACTGATCCACCCATAAACTGTAGATCGGTATTGAACGTTGATGTCTTTCGCATCTATAAGGACCGTCAGGCCACATTGCCCACAATAGTGGTTGTGACTGACAGGGGCAACCGTCTAGGCAGGTCTCTTCTGTCGATTGTGATGGCAGGAAGCGTGTGATTTTGAAAGTGTAGAGTGGAAGCTATGGACATCTCCAATAACTACCATCAATTCATAAGAATTTGCTAATGTTGCGGCTATGATAAGGCTGCTGACAGTAGGAATGATGATCAGTAAGATGCGCGCTAAATAAGGCAGCAGCGACCAGCTGCGCTAGAAGAGTGTTGGCGATACTGCTGGGATCTTGAGTTCACATTGCGGACCATGAGTCTGACGATCGTGGCCGGGTGGTTTGCCAGGCCTGAGGCCCAACTCTTGTAGGCGGGAATGGCTACTTGAGGTAAGTTTCTTTGTTAAGCACATGTCCTCTAGTATTTTTTAAGTTCGCAACGATTCTTACCTGGGAGCACAGGTAGAATGTGGAGCAGTTGTAGATGTTCGGAAACAGCGTGGCATTCACACCCTTGCCGTCCACGAGAGGGCACACCACGTGCTCGTCAAGAGGGGCCGCGCAGACACCCGTCACAGCGACGACCAGCGTCAGAAGAACTGGCACCATCACATTACCTTGCATGGCTAGGATTTGAGATTTTCTGCAGAAAGAAAGGAGTCCACCTCATTGTGAATGCTGTACTCTGAGTTGCAAACAATTAAACGTTTAAGATAAGTGCATCCATAAATACCTTGGGAAAAGAGCTTGCGTTACGGCTCTTGTAGGATACCTTGGATAATAAAACATAGCTGTCCACTGAGTTTAAAAAAATACTGCGTCTTGATTTCGAAGGTAAATAAACCAGGTACCAATGATGAGCCATGTACACTAGAATCCTAATTTCTCAAGGATGAGTTATTTCGCTCTTGTGAGCACTTGAGCCTAATTGAAGATGGTAGGAGTACACAACATTATGTCACAAGGCTTCAGAAGTACTGGGGTCCTTTCTTTATTAAATCGCCTAGTAGCCGGCTCCTTCCAAGTGCGTCCATTAACGCTAGCTCTAGGGCTAGAAAGAAATGCGAGGTAGATGCCAATATATATACTAAACTTGTGGCTCACACATATCCTGGGAGATCGGCCAAGAATCGTGTAGCTTAACAAAACAAAAATGGAATAAAATACAAGGTCTGCTCCTTAGGGTGAAAGGCACTCTTGTCCGCGACCCATTACATGCATGTAGGTGACATTATTCTTCCCTTGAAAAAAAAACACAAAAAGATTAAAGATAGCACTACCTGGATGATAATAAATATAAATACAATGTCCTGTGTGCTTTTCTAATTACTTTATCTTTGTGTGTACGAGCTTGAACGTCTGTTATTATATGGCATTCTCCCGAATAGCCTCATCAGCCACTAGCACAGCCCACATAATTTCTTTTGTAATTGGCGTGACCTCTCGTTCATGTGGTGGAGTAAAATGCGACAGAATATGAGATTATTATTGCTAGGAAAAGCAGGGGATATACCCATTTATTAAAACAATTAACTCACACGAAAAATAGGACATTTTCGCAGTAGGGTTGCCAAGCATTATGGAAATCAGGAGCTTGGCTCTTAGGTTTTCTTCTTTCTTTCCTGCCCTTTTTGTATTTTTTCTCTTTTTTTTGGCGTTTGTCCCTGCTTTCATCATTCCTTATTTTTTTGTCTTTTTGTCTCATTCTTTCTGCATCTTGCTCTTGCTCTTTGTTTTCTTTTCTTTAGTTTCATTACGTGCGAGTTTCTTTTGTTTTATCCACTTTTACACTTGGTTTCACCAGCGGTACGTCAAGCGAACTAGTCGTTTTATTTGTTTTTGCTCATTAAGATAAGTAGTCATCATCAGGGTGCCCGAAGAATAGAAGGAAGACTTCTCCTTGGCGCGAGCATGCGCTCAAGATTCTGCGCATGGAGCACATCATTCTCCAGCATACAAACGTCCGGACTCTATAGCGTTCATCACTGAAATGTTTTAGGTCACTGATGTCTATAAATTAGCCGTATATCACACCGTTTTCTAATTATATTATTAGGGCACAATATTGTGCTGGAATCGCAGTGAAAAACGGCCGCTTCGCTTCAAGTTATTCCCTCAGAATAGAAAAGAAAGGTAGGCGTGGGGGACTGAATATTTGTTTATACTCACTCAGCGATGGTCGTAGGGGCGCGTGAGGATCGAGTGTGTCTCTGTCGGCTCGGAGCAGGCGTCTTATGTGCTGCGTACACAGCCGGCCGACAAGAATTTTATGAGACTGGGCATTTGATAAGCGGTCCACGGCACTATTGGTCTGACGGCTGTATAGTGACGCCGGTTGTGACGTCATGAAGACAAACATTGTACCGGCAATAGGTCCATCCCCTCGTGGTCCACTGCAGAGTGACAGGTATACATCCGCGATTCTCATGCCGTGATTGCTTCTCCTCCAATTGGCAGGAGCCGCCAGTTGGCCATTATTGTGCTAGTTGCTTTCGGTTCAAGCCGCTTCTTTCTTCTTTCGCGGCATATACACAGGTTTGTCCGTCCCTGGACTACATGGGCACGTGCGCATAGTTCCACAGATAAGGCTCGGCAACCGAGAACGTTTGGTGTCAAGGGCAAGTGTTATAAAAACACGCTGCCCCTGTAACAAGCTTGACTCTTCCCGATGAGAACATGCATTGCTCGGATATTGCTTGAATGCGTGCGGCAAGTATGTGCCCGGTAATATGGGGACACGCCCTGACAGTGCATGTCGCGGTGTGTTCGGCCGCGGTGAGTAGAGGAGGAGGAGGAGGATGGAAAGAGGAAGGACAGGAAGGTTAGCCAGTTCTCAGACCGGCTGGCTACCCTGTAAGTATAGCGCAATGAATGACAGCGTGATTCCGAAGTTTGTCACTTTTGCAGATGAGTTACTAAACAAAAAAAAAAGAAAATAAGTCATAGAACTCCGAAAGCTTCGCGTGCCGGCCCCTTGGCGTATACAGTTTTTCTTTACTGTTTCATTTGACATGAAATGTGACCCACGTTAGCATGGGTGCATGACCAAACGCTTCTAAGAGCTGGGCAAAATTACTTCGATCTCCGCAAGCCTTGTAACTTCTTCTAAAATTCAGTGAGACGCACGATGCAATGAAAAAAATGTTGCACGTAATGAGCACACAAGAAGAGAATAAACCAACATTTCTACTACATTTCACGTTCACACTGGCGTTTTAACGAAATTTGCAGCCTTCCGGCAGCTATGAGAGAACACGGACGGCAGTTTTGACGGCCCCAGGACTTTTGAGAAGCGCATTTGTCGCGGCTGTTAATGGTTCGTATGCTCTGCACTACGTAGCCCTATCGAAAAAAAACGAATGGTGGGCATGGTGGAAACCACCACCCACCATTATAGTGGATTAATGTAGTGGGTGAATGGTGGGAAACGCCCAGCATGGCGCATGGTGGGTATGGTGGGTGCTGCAGCGCCGGCCACACTTGAGCGCGAAATGACGTCAGAATCACCGTGACGAGCTGCCACAAAAAATAAAAAACAATTCTATAAAAACGGTATAAAAAACACCCGTCCCGTAAAAAAAAAAAACAAGGCGCCACGGAGGATCGAACGTGCAACCTGCGCATTCCAATTCGAAGACGCTAACCACTGCGCCACACCATTTTTTTTTCTTTATTTCCGGTAAACTTCACAAACGGGTTGCTACGCTTAATATATTACAATTCACAACGAACAATACAAAAAACTTGAAAATAACTAAGCCCGTCAAGCATTACTATAACACATCACGTTCTAGAATTCCTTCATGGTCAGTAGGGCTTCAACCCTTTCTACCCATAAAGGTGCACATTCGTCTGTTCTTACTACCTCGAGCAATCTTGAGATGCTTTCTTTAAAATACTCTCTTGCTGGTCTTCTGTCTGGGTCACAATGAAATCCAGCCATTCTAGAGCGCCATATACTGTGCAAGGCAGTCATCATAATAAAATCGAAAGGTAATCCATCCTCATTCTCTATATCCAAATACCTGATCCCATGAGGATCTAACGGGAACTCTTTCTTGATTGTCCTTTGTAATACGTCCCAAAAATAAACACCTTCCCAACAGTGCAGAAATACATGGTCAATAGTTTCCGGTTTCTTACAGATTAGACAGTGAGATCCCCAAGGCATATAAAACCCACGCTCCTCTAGGAAGGTTCTTACAGGAAGAGTTCCAGTGTGTAATTTGAAAAAGAACGTTTTCGCACTTGGAGCTGCTGGCATTTTTTTAACTCGTTTAAGTACATTCTTATTTTTTTTTTTATTTATTATATCCTCAAAGGTTCCGTATGGAACTTTACATGAGGGGTGGGCGATGAAAGGCGGTATCAAAAGTAAAGGTTAAGATGCAGTTGAGTCTGCTGCTTGTATGGCATTCCTGAAGCGCGCAGAATCCCGGATGACAGCCGCCTCTTCCGGAAGGTCATTCCAGTCTCGGGCGGTGCGCAAAAAGAATGACTGTTGAAATGATGTGGTGTGAGCACGTGGCGGAATTACAGCGTTTGGATGACTTCTGCGATGGCCTCGATGGACTGGTTGGATGAGCTGGTTGTCACGTGTGGCTGAATGAAAGAATTTGTGAAAAAGGCACAAACGTGCAATATGACGACGAAAAGCGAGGGTAGGAAGCTTTAACTGGTTTTTTAGGTTGGAGATGCTGGAGTAACGGGAGTAATCTGAAGCAATGAATCTGGCTGCTCGGTTCTGGACAGATTCCAGAATTTTAATATGATTTGTTTGGTGGGGGTCAAAGACGGCAGATGCATATTCAAGTTTAGGTCTGACAATGGTGATATAAGCGAGTAGTTTAACGGAAGGTGGTGCCATGAAAATGTTGCGGCGTACGTAACCAAGGGCACGGTTAGCGGAGTAAGCTATGTGATCTATGTGGTCACCCCATGATAGGTCGCTCGTAAGATGGACACCTAGATATTTGATTGAGTTAGTAGCAGCTATAGGACAGTTGTTGATGGTGTAAGTAGCCGGCGCGTAGTTTCTGCGACGATGGAAAGAAATGAGCAATGTTTTATTCGTATTCAGAGACATCAGCCAAGTGTTACACCACTGTTGAATGCGTAAGAGGTCATGCTGTAGGGAAGAAACATCGGTAGAGTTATGTATTGGACGGTAAAGGACACAATCGTCGGCAAAAAGACGAATATTAGATTGAACAGAAAGTGGAATGTCGTTAATATATATCAAGAATAGGAGAGGCCCGAGGACGGTACCTTGGGGCACGCCAGACAGAACTGGGGAGAGGTTGGAAGAAAGGTTATTAACATGCACAAATTGTTTGCGGTTTGTTAAGAATGCTTTGATCCAGTTGAAAACATACTGGTGAAGGCTTAGACGCGAGACTTTTAGTAGGAGACGAGAGTGAGGCACCTTGTCAAATGCTTTTTCGAAATCAAGAAACAGTGTATCAACTGGGATGTTACGATCTATGTGGAGATGGATGTCATGCAGGAATAATGTTAGTTGGGTCTCACAGGAGTGACCTTTACGAAAGCCATGCTGGTTTGGGTGAAAAAAACTTGCAGATGATAAAAAGCTGGCAACATGAGAGAAGATGACATGCTCCATGATCTTAGAACAAACACTAGTGAGCGAGATGGGGCGGTAGTTACCTGCAGATAAACGATCGCCCTTCTTGAAGACCGGAATGACCTTCCCAATTCTCCAGTCCAATGGGACTTCACCTGTATCGAGCGACTGTTGGAAAATGATTGATAGTATGGAACCAGAGATATGCTTAGTATTTTTAAGAATTTTGGCATTGATGCCATCTATACCACATGATGAAGAATTTTTTAATTGATTGATTACATTAACGATTCCCTCTGAGCTGAACTCAATCTTCGGCATTTGCGGAAAAGCAAAATGCGGATATTCAGGAAGTTCTCCGCTAGCTTCGTTAGTAAAAACGGAACAAAATGCAGAGTTCAAGACAGATGGAACGTCACAATCGGCAATAGGGGATCCAGAATTGTCACAAAGAGAAAGTGTAGTTTTATCATCCGGTTTCATTATTTTCCAAAAGCGGCGTGGGTTGTCCCGAAGCATGTTGGGTAGTGTGGTTGAAAAAAAGTTTCTCTTTGCCAATGCCAATAATGCCATGTATTCTTTGGCTGTACTTTTATACTTGTCCCAGGCTAGTTGAGAGTTCGATTGCCTGGCAGAACGAAACTGTCGTTTCTTCTTATTTTTCATACGTTTTATATTGACATTAAACCAGGGAGAACGAGATCTTTCACATATAGTGATTGTTGGAATGTAAAGTTTGATCAAGTCCTGCATCTTGGATTTAAATAAAGCCCAATTAGATTCAGTGGATTGTTGATCGTAAGTTGAGGAAAATTCACTATAAAAGGCTGCTAAGTCGTTGTTCATAGCGACATAGTCGGCTTTGTCGTAAAGAGTCAGTAATTTCTTCGATTTGACGCTTTTTTTTATCATGTTACCGGGAAACGTAGTGTGGATCGCGGTGTGGTCACTGAGACCGCTAATATAAGAAAGAGAAGAAAAGTTATCAGGATGTGACGTAAGCAGAAGGTCAAGAACGTTGCTTGAATGATCGGTTGTGCGCGTAGGAGAAGTGACAAGCTGTGATAGACCAAACGTTAAGCACGTGTGTAAGAATTCATTGGAGACATTATCTGTGTTTTGGCAGGTGGATAGCTTGGACCAGTCAATGAAAGGAAAATTGAAATCGCCAAAAAGCAAGATGGGAGTACTAGGATTAGTAAGCGTTATCTCATGTAATACGTCATGAAAATCAGATGCAAACGAACTTTCAGAATTGGGTGAACGGTAACAGACGCCAATGAGCATATGCGGCGTGGTTGCGTGGCTGCGGACCCACAACATTTCTAAAGGCGTTTGCACGCTTACAAGGGAACATTGCAATTGACGATTAGTGGCTATTAGTACACCGCCACCGCGAGAGCTGTCCCTATCCTTGCGGAAGATATCGAACTCAGGCAGGTTGGGAAAGAGCTCAGGACTTGAGACCAGAGAATTGAGCCAAGTTTCGGTGATTAGTACGACGTTACTAGAAGAGGATGAAATGAGGCTGCTTATGGCGTCACGTTTCGGTATGAGGCTACGAATATTACTGTAAAGAATTGATACATCATGTTTAGAAGGCTTATCTGGGTTGCCGACTTTCTTTGCTAGTTGCTAACGTTTGTACTCGACAACAGTCTGAGTAGGATGATCAAATACGT